TGATTGCAAAATTGATCAAATATGATAAAAAAGTTAAATTTTGTAGACCACTATCATTCATTTCTCTGTTGATGCGTATGTAATAAACTATTTTCGTAGTAGGTTTATGTAAATTATTTACGCAATTCAAACTGCTACCACGCGTAGGTTGCACTTGATCGGGGTTGATCTGGATTCGTTTGCTGGCGAGTTGAAACTATGTCTAAAAGCTTAACAGTTCTTAGACTCTTTGTGCTTTATTGATGAAGTAGATTTTTAATTTAGGTTAAAATGATAATCGATTTCTGTTTAGACAAATTTTCTAATTGACGTTGTGATTTACATTTAAATAGATTTTCATGTCTTAAAGAAACTTTTCAATAATTGAGTATATTGGTAAGTCAGTCCACTAAAATTAGAGACCGTTCTATTTCATTGGACTGACTTGACTACTGGCTAGAGATTTATCTCTATTTACTGGCTTATTTGACTATCTCGACTACTGACCTCGTGTAAATGCTCTATAATACTGTAAGTACACTGAAATATTTTACTTTCTGACAACTGACAACAACGGTTTATGTTTTGGCAACATGTTGGCAGAGTGAAAGAAATAAGGGCTGCCATTGTAGTGGACAGTCCAACCACCCTCGCCGCTCTGGAGTGTGCGTCCTATGGAATCACTGATTTGTAATTTAATTCAATGAAATAATAACTGCAATCCTTACCTGGGAATTACTTCTTTAATTTTAAAATCTACAGCGATCCTTTTCAATTAAATATTTGAAAGAAATTCATGAACTTCAATCAAGCTATTTGATAACGATGTTTCTTGAAAGCTATTGAATGAACGATATTATTAATTTAACGTTAATTGGAATTATCTAATGCAAGCATTTGACACAAATATCTTGATATTTCAAACGAAATGATATACAATATTATATTTCTGGATCATTCTAATCATCATTCCTTACAATCACGATTGCGACTTGAACAGTTAACTATTTCCATAAAAAGCTATACCTTTAAAAAAGATTGCGGTAGATTTTAAAATGAGACAATTTATTATCTTATTTTTAATTCATTTTTAATAAAAGCTATTGTATAACATGTTTTCGCCATTGGCTTCACTCGCGTGGTACTGTATCATACATATAAACATTCCTCTTGAATCACTCTGTACATATATCGATGATAACCACATTCAAATCCGTTGTGTAGTTTAAAAGATCCTAGCGTACGTACAGACAGCGAGAAGAGAGTTTGTTTTATACTATGTATTTATAATAGTTTGTGACTCAACTGATTTATTATTTACATATTCCAATGCCACTGACAGATTTATTTATTTATTAAGATACAAAACAGGATATAATTAATACAAAGCATAACTTGTTATTTATCTTGCAAAATCCAATTATACCCAATAAAATGTATCTCTAGCATGATTAAAATGGAGCAGCATTAAAGCTAATGATATTAATTTTAGTCAAAGTTGAACTTTGCAAAATAGAAACAGTGTGATACAGATATGTTAATGTTGATTATGATGACATAATTCTTGAATTAAATAGTGACATTACTTTCTTTTTATATGAATATCTGTTACCGTCGAATATATCTATGTCATGATTAGTTTGATTTATCTCATTGTAAAGGTGGCACATACGGACGATTGGATTATAAAAGGATATTTTGATGCGGAAAACTTGCAATGAAAATGTTTTTGGATTACGCGTTCTGTAGGAAATGTTGAAATTTATGGAGGATAATAAGGATGGTGACTCGATGTATGAATGAATAATTTTATGCAAATGTATCAAATCACTTTGCTTTCGTCTATCTTCCAGGGTCGCAACATTAAACCTAGACAATCTCTCGTTGTGAGATCTTAATTTACGAGATAGACCATGTCGATAGGATATGCAACGCAGGAACTTCTTTTGTACATCCTCCACTAGTTTAGAATGAGTGTCATAAAAGGGTGACCAAATGACTGATCCATATTCAAGATCTCTCTCTAACTAAAGAATTGAATAGATAAATGATGCTGCGGGGATTTCTAAATTCTTTAGTGACTCTCAAGACGAAACCCAAAAGGCGAGTTGCTTTGTTGTATATATTATTATAATGTGCTTTGAAGGACATTTCTGAGTCAAAGATTATGTCTAAATCTTTTGCCTGTTCGACATGACTTAGCGGAAGACCGTCAATATTATAAGTGAAGCTTGTAACATTGATCTTTTTAGTAAATGCCATTGCAAAACACTTGTTTATAGTCAAGGACATTTTATTGTTTCTGCACCATAAGGCGATAGTTTCCAGATCAAGTTGCAGAATTTGAGCATCAGTTGTGTTTTTAATGGCTGAGAATACCTTCAAATTATCTATGTATAACAAAGAGGGACAATTTAAGCTTTTTATAAGGTCATTGATGAATATAATAAATAAGAGAGGGCCAAGGTGCGAGCCCTGTGGGACGCCAGAAGTTATTGTAATAGGTGCAGAAACTTCAGCTTTTAGTGCAACCAGCTGAGTCCTGCGAGCTAGATATGACTCCATCCATCGCAACAACGAACCGTGTATACCCACCGATTGCAATTTTAAAGATAGTATATAATGGTCAACCCAGTCGAAGGCCTTTGAGAAATCTGTATAAATTGAATCTACTTGTATATTTTTAGCAAAGGCTTGGTACAAATAATTTTTATATTCCAAAAGATTGCTGATTATTGACCTATTTTTGACGAAACCGTGTTGATTCGGAGCTATGAGAGGCTGTATGTGAGAATATAGGATATCATATACCATAGACTCCTGTAATTTTGCAAGACAAGACAGAATGCTAATGGGTCTGTAATTCTCACAATTCGATCTATCGCCAGCTTTGAAAACAGGGACAATATATGCAGTCTTCCATAAGTCCGGAAAAACTCCCGTTCGCAGAGACTGATTGAAAATAATGGACAATGGGAAAGAGAGTTCCATAGCGCAATTCTTAATGATATAAGGCGGTATACCGTCTGGTCCACTACCCTTATTAATGTCCAACTTTTTAAGTTTTTTTAGTATATCGTTTTCTAATAAAGATACTATTGATAGACTATTGCTCGATTCAAATATATTGTTATCCAGAGTAAAGTTTTTAGAATCAGCTTTTTCAAAGACAGAACTGAAATACCGCGAGAATAATTCACAAATACTCTTAGGATTAGACGATTGATGATCATTATATTTCATAGTTTTAGGTATGGAGTCTATCACATTGCGGTTGCTGTTAACGTAACTCCAAAAACACTTTAAATTCATCATCATCATCACCAGCCCTTTTACGTCCCCACTGCAGGGGCTCAGGCCTTCCTTATGGATGGTTAAGGAGGATGGGCCATGACCCTCCACGCTGGCCCAATGCGGAATGGAGGGTATTAACGACTGCAAATGCAGCCGGGACCAACGGCTTAACGTGCCTTCCGAAGCACGGAGTAGCTCGCGATATACATTTTTTGGTCACCCATCCCGTGACCGACCCTTGCGAAAGTTGCTTAACGACTACGATCGCGGGCCGCGGCGCTTATCCACTACGCCACCGAGTACTTAAAATTATTATTATGCAATTCATTTTCTACGGATGCTACGTATTTCTTATGATAAACATTCATCAAACGTTTACATCTAGCTTGAAGCATCGAAAATACATCATAATCATGGGGGTTCCAGTATTTTTTGTACAGCTTATGATATTTTTGTTTTTCTGATAAACATTTTTTAATTGCTGTATTGAACCAAATTGGGTAATTGTCACCATTTTTAGCGGTATATGGAGTAAATTCTGCAAGAATTCGGTTAAAAGTTTCATAGAAACGTGCCAAGTTATCATTTACGTTATCTGGAGATAGCAATTGATATTTCGGTTAAGGCATGTCTTACTCCGCCACGTGACACTTTCTGAAATTGAGACGTTTAAATGGTAAATTGGTGAGGGCTTTGCCAAAATCAATCGAAAAGCTATATGATACCAACAGTGCAGGATGATGGACATCCAAACGACTCAATGGATCACATTCATCCACACTGATTGCGTCAGTCGTACTCAAAACAAGATCTAGTTGCCGATTATTCTTATTAATGACGTGATTGTATTGCATAAGTTAATTGTCGCTAATAAGAAGTGGGACTTGCGATCAGTAGGAGAGGATGGGATAAGATTTGAGATGCCAGCAACGCGAGTCCATGTAACATTAGGAGTATAGTAGTCGCCAATACAAATAAATCTGACATCGTTATCTGACTTTAATATTATATTTTGAAGATTTTTGTAATAATTATCAACATCGTCTATTAAAACGTACGAAGGTAAATACGTTAAACATAAATTTAATTTATAATTATACTTCAATTTAATTATGATCCAGAGGTCTTCAAACTCAGTTTCCCATGATAGTTGGCGAATCACGTTATAACCCCTCATTACAGCAATAGCAACCCCGCCTCCATCCTCCTTTACATTACTTGAACTAGCCCTATCTCTACGAAAAACTTCATATCACGAGTCAAAAACTTCCGAATCAGACACACTATCATTGAAGTTCGTCTCTGTAAGACAGATAATGTCATAGCTACAATTGAGTATATTTAAATATGTATCTGTGGTCTTAGATCTTATTCTATTGACATTTTGATAGAATATTTCCATTAAAATATGTATGTTAAAGAACAAACATTAACAAACCAACTGGATAAAAGGTAGATATGAAAAACGAGAAAGAAACAATTTAATACCCCTAAAATTTACTTAGATTTTGATATTTTTTCTAAGATATCTGCATTTCTAATATTGATAGCATTAGAAGATTTGTCCTTACGTATGTAAATTTTACCAAATCTCACCCAAACAAACTGGTTATTGTTGTTAGCCGCAAATTTACGACAATCTGCATGGAGCTTCTTTAACTCGGGTGACAAATGTTCAGTGAAGTAAACTCTAGAATTGGATCCAGGAACTCCCAGGTGCGATGAACTTAACATATTATATTGTGGTGGGCCTTGTTATACCGGTGAACTGCTGAGATTATTTCATCACGTTGCCGGGACGATGATAGAATTACAAGGATATTGCGAGGACGCTTAGAAGCAAGGTTCATCTTAGCTACTCTTCGACATGCACGAACCGATAAATTGTCTATGTTCGTACCCACAACCTGACATAGTTTTTGGAACAGTAGGATAACATTCTCGTCTTTACATTCAGGCACCGCGTGGATTTCCAGATTGAGGTTTCTAGATAGATTACAAATTGTACTAAGCTTGCTCTCGACCTGTTTCAACTGTATTTTCAAATTATTGTTATCCCTTTCCAATTCCTTTATAATAGTATTTTGATTATCGATTTGTGTTTTTAAAATCTTCTGTTCAGCGCATATGAAATCAGTCGTACATAAGAATTCGTCTTTTAGTCCCTGCACGGCCAATTGGATTTCATTACGCACCATGTTCTCCATATCAGTCTTAATGTCTGTGCGTAAGTTGTTCGTGTAATATGATAGCGCAGCATTTAATTTTTGGTCCATAAGTTGACTTATTTTTTCCAATGTAACAGAATGATCAAATGATTTAGACGTAGAAGGTTTAGTAGTATAATCTTTAGTTTCCGATTTCGTAGTTGTGTCAAGATCGTAAGATATATTCATTGATTCGTCTAATATTGCCATTTGGCAGTTAGATTTCTTACGTTTTGTTATATTCGTGCAGGCAGGGCAAATCCATGATGATAAAAATTCCTCTGACAACGTATAAAATTGACTACTTTTTATATTCAAACATTTATAGTGATAGCCTTGTTTACAAAGTTTACAATGAAGAAAGCTATTCGGTTCAAGCGTACTTCTACACGCGTTGCAGGAAATATTCAGGAAATATTTATTTTTATTGTAAAGTCGAAAAAAGGATGTATTTAATTCCCACAATTATCAGTAGCACCGTCAATAAAGTCCCTAGGAAATGCGTTGATATGAGCCTTCGTTGATCGAAGATATGAGTTCATTAATAAAGGAACACCTCGCACAAACAAGTCGCTAGCTGATTCCTCGCGAGAAGAAGGGCGTAAGCGCCGTGGAATGGGCGTCACTTACGCGTTTCGATCAATAGTTATTCCAACTGCTTCGAGGGTTAAACAAGAATTTTATTGATTGTATGGAGATTTTTTGTTACTGTATTTTCGCACTAAATTAACAAATATTTATTTGACAAAGTCTCTAAAACACACACTGGTTTCCCAAAAGTAATTACAATAACTCAGTTTGGTTAAATTGACAGATTAACCAGCAATTTTAATTTATTTGTAAGAGAATTGTAACAATAGCTGTTGCTCGTGAGACGGTAAGCGAAAGACTTTGAAGATTAAAAGTTAAAATTTAAAATATTTAGTAATAAGTAGTAGATAGTTTATTTACATCTAAACGGTTTAATCAATAAATAAAATCTACTAATAGAATATGGTAGAGCACAGTCGGGCTTAGCGGTAGCCCTTCACAGGATAAGGGAATATAAACGCTCAACTCATTGACTACATCTCCGCTTACTATCCGTTTCCGTCCGAATGGGTATTTTTATCGGATGAATAACAGAATGGAAAGTCCTGACCGATAATGTAAAAGGCAATCAATAATCCTCTCTGACATTTTTTTCTTGCTTAATATGTTTTATCTCAACAATTATCTGCTTATGCAGTATTCGCTTTATTTATAAGTGCTACTTTTCTCTTCATTAAAAGCGAAGAACTTCAAACAAGGAGGATGTACTCATTATTACTTTATATTATTTTATGTGTATCATAATTATGTTTAACTTTATATTTAACTCGTAACTTTTACTGGGTATACAAATAGACAGTGGCGTTACTACAGGGTGGAAAGCAAAATGCCACGACCCATCAGTTGGAAGAGGCCCCCGGTCAGAGGAGACTCCTTACTCCTGACATTTATTATTACGCAATCAGTTAAAAAAATTGAATATCCGATGAATTTGCCACGGGCCTCAAACGGTATAGTTACGCCACATAGAAATGATTAATTTTATTATTACAAGTTAGTATTGGTCAGATAAGCAGGATTAGATAAGTAGTTTTGTATTACGTAGAGGAGCCATTGAGAAAGAAAGATAGTTTTGTTATTATTTAAAAACCAGCTGTGCTCGCGACTTTGTCCACGTGGAATGTAGTCTAAGTTACTCCTTATTATATAACCTATCAGCCAGTGAAAGTTCTGCCAAAAACCATCCGTTCCATCCGTTTCAGAAATTATTCGGCGCAAACAAAAAAAGGTTAAAAAATGATATTTTTGTATACGTAATTATTCATTTAGTAGAAACGGTTTTCTTTATTTTACAAACAGATTCCAGATCTATTTATTTGTATAAAACCTATTGAATTCTTCAAGTATCAAATATGTATTTCACAAATACATATAAGATATGTTGACGATAATTATATTCATGAGAATCGTCTTCACAAAAAAGAATAATTAAATTTACAACTTAAAAAAATCGCCAATCGCAGGTATCCGAGCTCGGATAATTTAATTTCAAAAAAGATAAATTCCCAGATGGTGTATTTTCGTTGCCCCTATAACAACAAATACTTAAAACAGAAATAAATAAATATTAAAGGGGAGTACTGTAATACGCACGTCGTGAATTCCTACTTCTTTTGTTACAGCACAAAGATTTTGTTCGATTGTAAGATCAATATAAAGAAGACTTTACTGGATTCGAAACTTTTATTTCGTATCAAAATACAATATTGGTTCTATTACGTGCTACATCTAGGCTGTTCCAAAGCAGAAAGAAAGCTTTTTTATCATCAAGAGAACACCAATTCGAACGCGAAGAACTAAAATTTTACATTAATAGTGATCAGTATTGACCAAAAATCGTTCGGAGAGTAAATCCATAATGTTGTGCTCGATTATCACAATACCGTACAACAAATGTGACTTAGAGATTTTTATAGACACGGAGCCCTTCGTGTGCGAGTGCGATTCGTACATCGGTCGGTTTTTAAGTCTCGTTAAGCTCAGCACTGGTGGCCGCACTATTCTATTTGTATTTTCTCCTGTGTTTTTGCTTTCATAAAAAACAAAAGTGACCCCAAAGTTACTATTTATACACTGTATAATTCGTCTGAGACACGTTTCATGTTTTTAGTTACTAAATCAGAACCGAAACCTTTATCTGGCATACTATATAGTGTTACCAAAAGCTCAGCTCAAAATCTCACATGTGACTTTATTCGCAGCTATTGCTTATCTGCTCACGTCTCTCTCCTCGATTCTCCATGAATAGCAGAACTTCTATTTTTATCAAATATCAAAATTCAGTCTCCATATATTTTTATCCGCAACATTTTGATAGTAGCGTCGAAATTGATTGAGCACAAATTTTTGTACTTTTATAAGTGTCTTTTAATACGTTTATGCTGAAATTTCTAATAAGCATCGGGATTTAAGATATACATCAGAAAATATTTTTGTAAACTCAGAATGAATGCAAAAACAATATTTCAGCGGTATTTTAAGCGCCATGATCACGTATCAACTCGTAAAATATAAGATACATTATAGCAATCCCGTTTTTAGCAATCATTATAATGTAAGTGATGTTTGACCACAAAGGTTTAAAAGAACATATTTCTTTAATGGTTACTTGCATTAAAAATCTCTGTATATCTGAAAACAAACTCATGTTTTCTCAATTTCAGTGTTTAAAGCAAATCTTATTGTTGATGGAAAATATTCTTACAAGTTCAGCTTAAATTGAATCAGAGATTGATTTTGTTATTCAAATAAAACGATTATGCTTACATACTGTTCTAATTTCTGTATCTCTTTTTTTTTTTTTGTAGATACCACGTTTAGTAACAATTTGATAAATTAACTTGGAAGGTTTTATTAGCGCTCAGGGTATCAAGGGTCCGCGTAATCAGTTCCCTTCAAACTTGTCCAAGTCGAATTATGGTTCTGTTAATTGTAGCTTGATTTAGTATGCTTCCTCGTGCACAAGTAATCACATCATATACAATTTATAAAGTTACCGGCTCAATTAAACTTGTAAATAAGATATGTAACAAGAGTAAATTATCTTAATTTTATCTCTGGATACGTACTTTTTATTTCACAAACACACCATATTTATTTTGTTCCCAGATTGTCATGTGGTTTATAATGTAAGTTTTATTTTACTTTACATTTCAACGATGATTTTTGTTTGCTCAAAATATAATAATCATTTTGGCATATTGAATAGTGCAGAATAACTCTTGCAATAATTCGTAGCGGCCTCGCTTTTTTGGAAATTTTGCTTAACTTTTAAGTCAAACCTAAAATAGCAGATATATATTTTTTTTTTATAAAATGCGTGAAACACTTTTCTGTGCTCCTGGATTGAGCTAATTCAAATAGAAAATTATACAAAGTATTATCATTTTGACATTATTTGTCAAACTCCCATGTCGTACCCACTCCAGTGACTGTTGGAGGCTCTACACTGGAAGCTGTCGACGAGTACCTTTACCTGGGACAAATAGTCCGATTAGGTAAGTCCAACTTCCAGAGAGAGGTAAGTCGACGGATCCAACTCGGCTGGGCAGCGTTCGGGAAGCTACGCAGTGTATTCTCGGAACATCTACCGCAGTGTCTCAAGACAAAAGTCTTTAATTCGTGCGTGTTGCCAGTGATGACATACGGTGCTGAGACGTGGCCGCTTACGATGGGCCTCATAAGGAAGCTCAAGGTCGCTCAGAGGGCAATGGAAAGGGCTATGCTCGGGGTTTCTTTGCGAGATCGAATTAGAAATGATGAGATCCGCAGAAGAACTAAAGTCACCGACATAGCTCAAAGAATTGCAAACCTCAAGTGGCAGTGGGCAGGGCACATCGCTCGCAGGACTGACGGCCGTTGGGGCGGTAAGGTCCTGGAGTGGCGACCGCGTACCGGGAGACGCAGTGTTGGCAGGCCCCCCACAAGGTGGACCGACGATCTGGTGAAGGTCGCGGGAAGCCGCTGGATGCGGGAAGCGCAGGACCGATCGTTTTGGAGATCTTTGGGGGAGGCCTATGCCCAGCAGTGGGCGTCTCTCGGCTGAAATGATGATGATTATCATTTTAATATGTATACTTTTAGCAAACCTAGCCTGTTTTATTTGTACATCATTTAATAGATGCTAGGTAAAAGTTATTGAACTTCGGTGGGTGTTTTATATGTTACACATTGCTAGTTGATCAGCAGGTTGTCTATAAAATCCTTAGGAATTATATAAATTATCTATACAAAGTATGTAATGGAAAATAATATTCACAATATTTTATACTTTACCTAGGTGCTTAAGGCGTTCTAATTATCACAAACTTGAATAATCGAGATTTATTTTTAGTGAAAGGAAAGTTAGTTTATTTATTTTACCTATAATTTTATATTATTACGGCCGTTTCTTTGAAACAATTGAAGGCTAATAAGCCGTAGATACTCTCCCGTACCCTGCGAGGATCGGAGCGGGGCGGGGAGAGGGGGGAGTGGTGAGGGTGTATTCTTAACTAACCGTGAGGAGAAGGCCGGGTCCAATTATGAACCTCTTGTCTCTAGAGTGTACCGCGGTGTTAGAAAGACACGCACCTTTTTTCGTGAACACTTTACCAGGCTGCTATTACATTTATATGTTGACTTATTATCATTAATCGACGGTATTAAGCAATGCTTTTTTGTTTGTTATAAAAACAAAACTACTTGTACCGATAATACATAAATGGGCTATCTTGGACCCATAAGCTGCCTAGTAAAAAAAAATTTTTTTGAAAATTGGTCAACGTCAATATATAACAAACATCGTCGTCGAACGTAAAACCTCCTCGTTTTCGATTTTGAATTCAATTAATAAAAATAACCGCTGTATTGTCTAAAAAGACTCATTAACTCTCCATAAATAGATTATCGAATGGAAAATAGATATTAAGTTTTTCAGT